GCTTTGTGTGTGGCAATAGAGGAACATGATGCCGGGCTCGTTTACATGCCGTTGGATCATAAGGAAAACCCATAACAGCCACTGTGTGTCTCTCGCTATCTCGACCCTTGATGGGTGTTTCTTTCTCGTCTTATTCTTTTCGAGTCCTTTCTTTCCAGCTGCCCCTGGAACTGAATTATAAACCTTTTGAAGACATTATTTCTTTTATAATCTGTCAAATATTGCATCTGCTGATATCGTGACCAAACAAGGAAAATCTGTTTGCTTTGTTAATCTTCTTCAACTTTCGGTTTTCAGGACTTTCAGGGTTCCGTGTTCTTTACTAATGAGATAGTTGACCTAGGCATTTTTAGAGTTGAAGTGCAAGTCCTTTTCCTTTGTCAGTGGCGCTGACAGATGCTGATTTCTTGCGCATTTGGTACTTTTAGAATCTCATTTACAAAGTCTTTTTACTTAATCGAATTGGCAGCTGACCAGGAAATCAAGCCCAAGCTCCAGCTGTGAGATGATCATCTTGCCAAATAACAGTCATGGCGGAAGTATAAGAGTTTGTATGGGAATATTTACGACCGCTCTAAGGAATAAAAAAATGCGTCCAATTTTCTATAAAATACCTCACCTTACTTTCACAGTGTATCGCTTGTTATCTGACCGCTTACTACGTTGAAGGGAACCCATTTTAACGAGTTATCCATTTCGAGGTTTTCTACGTACACAAGAAAAGCCCAGTATACCTACTGAATCACTCACTCAATTAATACAAACCCAGATTTGAAGGCGTCCTCCTTAAGAGAGCTTTTCCTATGTACGTAGAAATCCTAGAAATGTATAACTCGTCAAAATGGGTTCCCTTCAACAAGCGACTACAGTAAAGAGCAGATTTCCGCTTCACGTATGTGTCTTGCCATCAGACAGCACGCACACCGGAATTCCGTTGTTTAGCAACTAAAGCAAATTTGACAATGGATTGAAGTTGAAAAAGAAACTGAATGATACAATTATGCCGAAGGAATGATAGTTCAAATTTCTCTTTTCCTCTTCTTCCATGAGTCTTCCATAATCGGCCAGCTTATTTCCGAATCTTATGTTTTTTAAAACCTGAGAATTTTGCGAATGCGTCTATTAGTAGATCAAGATGTCCAGCAGTACTGAATGAATGTACGATTTCCCCCTGAAAAGAAGCATTTTTTTGTCCAATAACATAAAAAAGAAAAAAAAATGGGAAGCCATTCGAAACTGAAACCTAGACTATTCATCCGTTGCTTAATAAATAAAGAGATTTCCACTAAGGAGGTGAACAAAATGCAAGAGGAAAGACCAAGTAACCCTTAGCAAGAGCGACATCATACAAGGGACAATGTCTAATGACATTCGGCAAAAGTGTGTTTATCAAACCAGAAACAGCGTAAGAGAAGGAGAGAAAGCAAGAAAGAAGAAGAGAAAGAGGAGAGGGGAGTCCACCTTATTGCGTAACTGATCACACTCGTCAAAAACATGTGACTATGCGCTGATAAGGATTGATGTGCCATATAACAAAAGGTGATCATCCTTCATATATACAATGCGAGCAACATTCCCAAAAAAGGGAATGTTTTCCCCGATAAGACCCACAAAATTTGACCTTTTTTAGTTGGGGTCACATCATTGATCAGGCATGGAAAATCACAAATTTTAGTCTCGAGAACTTCCACTATAGGTTCCGGGATTTTGTTCCTGGCCCATGAAACAAATACTTCATTCAAATACTATTCAACTACGTTTTGCAGATAAATTGAGCAATTTTGCTCTTAAATATTTATTTTAGGGATGAAAACGTGCTTATTCCTAAAATATCACATCCGTTATCCGAATACCATTATAAACAGTACATGAACCTGCCAAAATGCGTGCTAAATACGTCGACGACAAATGTAAAGAAAGCCAGAAACAAAACCAGTGATGGATTTTCCCTACAGTTCTCAAAACCTAAGGTACATTACTTTTTGAAGTAATTAAAACAGGCAATGATCTACTTAGGTGGAACAGTAGTCACCTTGCATGATCAGAACGTTTTAGTTTAAAATTCTAAAAACACGATAGAACAAACAAGATAGAACACATGTAGCAACAAGGAAAAACAACACAAGAATTCCGAGAAATCAAGTGACAGGTAAGCTCGTTTGATACCAATTCCGCCTAAGGCAAAGGTACAAGTTGTTCGAAAGATCACGTACACAGGAAGCTGATAAACAGATGATACTGTATAAAAGAAGCCGTGATTTCTGTACTCATCATTCAAGTCTACTGGCAACTTGAAGAGAACCAGCGAATAATTTGGAGAAGAACCATTCTTCAAAGCTCGAAATGGTGAGAGAATCTTATTGTAAAATAATGTTTTTTGTATAATATAGTATACTCGCATTAACTTTTCCATGTAGAGGATTCAACACGCTCCACGCTTAAGCATTTTGAGTATCTATTAAGGCCAGTTTTTAAGGTGGCCCATCAACCTCTATAATTTACGATGGTCACCACGAGTTATGCTCCGAATCTAACGACTAGTACAACCTGTCTGGTTAAGTTCTTTAGCTTGTTGAATAATTGGACGCTTGATATTCTCTTAAACGAGATCCTTGGGCTTTCTTTTCCCTTAAACAAATAACCACACCGAGTAACGGCGATTTATGACGAAGCGAACCCAGACACAGAAAGAAAAAAAAAATAGAAAGAAATGGCCAGTATTGCAGCGAGAGTTAACTGTGTATGATTCAAACCCACTGGCGACGCTACCAAACAATGAACAAGCTCGCCAAAGAGAGTCTCTGTACTTCAGTGATAGAGCATCGAAGTGTGGAATCCGAAGTTCTGAGGTTTGATTCCTTATGGGAAGTAAGAAGTATTTCATAGAGAGGACTCCGTGCTTAATTGCGTCCAATAAAACCGTTATCCCACCACAATGCTCATCTCCACCAGCATGTCAAGAGAACAATTGGCATTCTGCCCGACGAGACATCCGATAAGTCTTACTGACCGTGATGGTCACATGATGCCTTTCTAACAGTAGGAATGAGTTTGCAATGTATCAACAAATAATGTCGTATTGTTTGTAGATTGCAGATTGGAAAGCTTTGTGTTTCATCGCGATTTTCTTCGCTGTTACTGGTCAAAGCGTGAATTCACAGGCCTCAGGTATTTAAAGCAGTTTAATTATTAACGACGTCGATTTATTTTTTATTTTTGATTGGGGGGGGGGAAGGGAAGGGGACTTTGATCATCCTTGAATCAGGATTGCAAGCAACTTGACGTACACGTAATAGTCCTTGTTTTTGAAATTTGAACTGATCCTTTAGTCAAAGGAACTCGGGAGACTCTAAACCAAGTCCTGTTCCATCTGGGATGAGGTAATCCCCAAATTATGGATTAACAAACATGAATTGAAATCGCACGCCTCTCTCGTTTGTTGACACTATGATTGAGATTTTACCACTTCAGAGATTGGAAACGTTTCAGCTACGAGGTAACATGAGTCAAATATACACTTACACACAAACATGTCAACATTAAGTAGTTAAACCGAATCTAATACGTGCTGTCTTAGTATAAATGCTCTGTTTATCTATTCTTTGAGTGACAAACTTGAAAAATACAAGCTTCATTTTTCAAGATGAGCAAATTATAAAAATCTCGTCGACACCAACAAGATTTGAAAAATAATTAAAAAACCTTTATCATGAGATCCCAGTTTTGGTATATATTTTGTCCAGGCTCAACCGAAAACCAAGCTATTATTGATTTAAAGTTGGAAGTTTGATGAAGACTAGGTTTCGTGACCAAATGTAATAAAGATTATCTTTCCCTTAGGTAACTGGCAGAAGGCAAATACTGCTCCAGTGTGTTTTGGCACCAGGGATACTCAGCCTGGATCCTTCTACCTGCCATCTGGCGGCGGACTGGCCGCTATAAAGTTGGTCCACTTGTACGGTTACGTGTCCTGTGACGTTGCAAATCCCAAACACTGGTCGTTTTGGGGGTGTGGTCAACATCGCTCTTCAGGAGAAGAGGTTGATGTGGTCATAACAACATCGGACGACAAACGGATCATTTTGCCGCCAGCAGAACTCATAAAGAACAAGGGCCAAAGAGGCAAGTGGGCGAGGGTTCCCGGATATGACTCATTCTCCAAAGAGATTGTGCTAAATCCATTTGCCAAGCCTTATCCAGTACTTGCTGGTCAGCAGCTACGCCTTTGGTACGGCGAGGATCTGGATGATTACACCGAGAGCGACAACGGAGGCAAAGTTTGTTGTGATGTTTATGCTCAGTTTCAAGTATAGCTTTCGTTTTCGTATTAGCCATATTTTCATTAATTTTCATCAGGTGTAATAATCGATGCGATGATCTTAGAGTGAACTCTCTCCTTCAAAACTGTTGCATTTCCAAATTTTCTCTGTTTCTTTCATTAGGCTGGTGTAGACAGGCTTACATGTTTTTTTCGGACAACTAACCTCGTTTGAATTTCGCCGTTAGTTGTTATTACTGTTTTGATTTTAGTAAAAATAGCAAATATTATGTAATGTAATTTCAGGCGGCGATGACGTAGAACAAAACGATAAATTACTGGATGTACGATTGGCCTGTAATTCATGAGCAAAATAAATGGGCATTATAACTCATTTTGTTGTTCTTACTTTTCTTGTTTTCTTGTTGTAAGTAACCACGAGTTTATATAAGTATGGAACACGTAGGTTCCCATCCCTTCGAAACAAGACAAAACACCTCTTTCTTCTTCCTCTCTACCGACCTCAAAATTTGCCATTTTGTTATTCCACCCTTATCACTGTTTTACAAGTTGTTTGTCCAAAATAATTCAGCTGTAGTTCAGTTTACTCAATTTACCCAACCAACCTCTTGAATTTACACATCAGAAGAAAGTTAAACGTTTTGTTGAGGGCTAAATTGAGTAAATTTATGAATTTAAGTCAACGAGGATGTGAGATCAGAATATAATGATCTAAGGAGGATTACACAGGCTGCTCAACATTAAATTTGCTGTTCTTAACACTTGGGACATCAACCACAGGACGGTGTCGAATGACATCTGCCATAAGTTAAGGCTGTTCTGAAGATTATAAGACCGGGAATATAAGGTAATCAGAGAATAACTTATTTCTGCAAGGGTTTCCGAAATGTCAGTCGCTACCGACACCAGGTCTTCCCAGGAGGGTCTCAATGGGGTGATGGCTTTTACGGCTAACGGTTAAAATTTTGGCCAATTTACGGCTAACGGTTAACACCTTTCCATTGTTTCCACCAGTCATATTTTTATTGTTAACTTTTTTTTTACGACTTACGGTTAGAATTTGTCAATTTTTACGCCTAACGGCTAAATTTTTGGGCCGTTTTACAGCTAACGGTTAACCCCACTGAGACCCTCTCGCAGGACTTATCTAACCCAGGCGATTACATTACACGATTTGTTATGTACGTCTTTGCGATTATTTCCATTCTTTCTAAATTATTCACCTTTGTAAACATTATCACAAAATTATGAAAAATGTCTGTTTTGACAAAAAGATACGGTCTCTTGAACTGGCTTTTACATCAAAGTAGTTAAGATTAAGATTTTCCGCCAGCCTCTTTGCCAACACACGCAGCTTCTAAAGAAAAAAAAAGTTTATTAAAATAAGACAAGAAGAAAAGACAGCGTCTTAACTCATCGTCGTAAATATTCCATTTAAGACAATATTATCTCAGTCTGAATCAATCTTATCACTCAGATAAATATCAAAGCAAATGGATGCATTCTTGGTCATTGTCTAATTTGATGCCATCAAAAATTGTGCAGTGGCCATTTAAAATATTAGTCCTTGATTTCATAATCATCCCGCACGACAATTATTGCATGAGAGAACAAAATCCTCCACCAATCAGATTGCGCAGATCTATATAACCGCTTGAGTATTTAAGCAGGCAATAGGCGATGGAAGAAAGTTGTTTTCACTTGATTTGTGGCAAACCTTGAACAGTAAAATCCACGAGTTTTACTGGGAGTCTCAGAAAATAACTAACATCGGAAATGTCTATGTTATTTTGTATCAAGGAAAAAATCCTATCTGGTGTGAGGAAACTGAAGTGCAAACAGCAGTCGTATGGTGACACGCTCAAGACAATAAAATTTACGTGCACTGGCGTTGCAAACATCATTCAAAAAAGAGCTGTCACATATGTAGCAATTATCAATACTGAATTCCATTGTCAGCTGAGGTAAGTTCTCACTGATGCTCTGTCAGGAAACAAACGATTTATATCAAGTCTAGATATATATAGCCTGACCTCCCATTCCGTTTATTTCTACGTTAACATGATATCAAGCTGATCTGAATTTCAATGTTAGATAATAAATTAGCGATGTACGAAGAAGAAGATTGGTTGACAGTTACAACTGAGAGAAATTCTAAGAATTTAACTAAATCACTTGCCTTATCGTTTTTGGAATAAGATGTGATCTTTTGCTCCGTCAGGTGGAATCCGTTAAATACGACATAGTAATACATTTCACCCGCCCCTGAGAGAGAAATGATAACTGTTTAGTCTTAATTGAATGGATCACGCAACGCAGGTGACTTAATGTAGAGAACGAGTGCATGACTAGACAGGTTGGTTTTACGATTGCGACTGCGCATAGCGAGAACAACATTGCCTTACTGCCTAATCAGGATAAAACCCAAGTATGGGTGTGACTATAAAAGACTATCGGCAATTGCGTCTCAGTTAGGGGAAAAGTTTGGAAGGATGGTTCAAAGACGGCGTAAATACAAAACTGAGGGAAGAAAAATAACTGGACAAGGTTGACGCGTGAGGCACACACGTTTTCTCGTCCACAATACTCATCCCACTCGCGTCAGAGAGAGAACGACTACAATTAGTGTAGAGATGTCTAAGTTAGACCACGTTTTGATCGAGTGTTGAACAACTGAGACTAACTGTAGCAGCTAAGCAGTAGAAAGGGAAACGTCACGGGAAGTTTTGTAGTTCTCAATAAAGAATGGGGGCGAGTGTGTGGGAACACACGTTTCATGGAAAACAAGAAAACTGGACCACCACTAAATATAAATAATAAAATATATTTTTTTTAATTCATATGATGATCCGGGTACTGCTAAAAAGATTATCGCTAGCCAGAAACGGAAGTTGTGGAATATCATGACGAGAAGCCAATCAAAAATCAAAGTGAAACAAGCAAATTTGTTTAACCGTGGGAAAAATCCCAGTGAACAATTAACAAGAAATTATTAGTTTTAGTTCTGGATCTGATTGATTGAGAGGCAGATGTACGAGTATTCTGGACCAATTAAAATGAATCGTGAAACAAAACTAATTCAACTTTAATATTCCCGACTTCTTACCGTGCTTTTGCGCTTTAAGTCTAATGTAAACGTTATGGAAGTTGCCATTCTCCACAGAATGTTCTCCAATTACACACACGTACTGCGCACGCTCTCCGTCTAACACGCATGTGCGGTGTCCTCTGTTCTCCCACGCCATGATAGCTGATACACCACCCACAAGGATGAGAAATACCATGTATTGCTGGTAAAGAGTGGGACAATGTAAAATGTAAATTAAACCAGCTCTCAACACCTCTCTATGCAAGCACAATTGAGAATTCACCACTCTTATTAATTCTTGTGAATAATCAAAGCCGTGATTAAATAATTAACTGTGACTTTTGAAGGCTTTATACTTATTCGTTGTCTTTTCATAAGAGTCTGGTGTTCTATCAAAACAAAGTCATTCAAAATGAATTTTTTAAACGATTCTCAAAACCCGTCTTCCGGACGGTAAACTAAAATTTTGAGTAAAATTTATCAAATGATCACCCTTCTGCGCAAGAAACTCAGGTAGAGATTGCGCGCAGAAAAATCACAAGAATCATTAATGACCTAAAAATTCTGATCCGTGTTTATCACGTGCTGGCGAAAGCGCATGTATCAAATCGATGAAAGACACACTAGTGTTGATCACCTTTGGATCGAATCAGATTCAACTGGCAGAGAATTTATGAGAAGGCAAGTTATCAGCATTGACGGAGGTTCCGATGAAGATATCAAGGTCAGGATAAACAAAGCCAGAGTAGCTTTCAATATGCTGAGGAAAGTGTGGTCCTCCCATGTCATCTCACGGAGAACCAAATTTAGAATTTTTAACACCAATGTCAAAGCAGTCCTCCTCTATGGCTCAGAAACGTGGAGAACAACTAAGCAAACGTCCCAGAAATTGCAGACCTTCGTCAATAAGTGCCTTAGGCGAATTTTAAAAATCAGTTGGACTGACAGGGTAACGAACGAGATGCTGTGGGAATTAGCAGGCGAGGAACCAATCATAACTCAGATCTCAAAGAGAAAGTGGAGATGGATAGGTCACATCCTAAGGAAACCGGCAAACAACATCACCCGGCAGGCACTACGTTGGAACCCCCAGGGCAAGAGAAAGAGGGGTCGTCCCAGGAACTCCTGGAGAAGAGGTGTAGAGTCCCAAATGAGAAACTGGGGCCACACTTGGGCCACTTTAGGAAGATTTGCCCAGGACAGAACCCGATGGAGGACGGAAGTGGTTAATGGCCTATGCTCCAACCGGAGCTAAGGGAGAATCAACAAGTTATCTAAAGTCTTATTGTCCAAGAATATTTAACGACTGTAATTTTTGTTTGAGTTGTTTTGTTTTAGTTTAGCATGTGTTTTAATGTAATCGTTTATCAAATATACTTACGCTGGCCTCAAACGCAATTCCCCACGTAATCAGTGCAACTATTGAAACGAAAGCCGTAAGTGTTCCAATGTAAAATCGTTTTCTACTCAGAGCAAGAACGAACTCTGCAAATTAATCAAAAACTTTGAATCAGTTGCGGCTGGCTCAATTTGACTCGGCAAAATTTGATTTTTTGGCCTGTGTAAGGTAGATATAATGATAATCGAGTTGAGAGAAGTACAATTTTTTTCTGAAATAAAACGGGTGATTTCTACATCAACAAAATCATTACGTATCCCAGAATGCTTTTCACCCCTCAAGGAAAGTTGCTCCTATAATGGTGATCATCTCTTCAATAACCAGGAAAAACAACCGCTGATCGAAAAAAAAACCTGTTGCATACTCGCGTAAATAAAGATTGGAAAAAGGAAGCGAGAGTCAGTTTCCAAAACTGCGCACGTCCAGTCATTTTTATTGCATAAATCGACTCTCAATGTTTTACAAGAAAAAACAAAAGAAAACAAAACAAACAAAAGACACGGACAAGAAAAAATGAAAAGAACTGACATTATTTACATTATGCTTTGACTAAACCACCAATCCTAAACAGAAATTCTGTCGGAAAGAAATTTTCAGCCGTAATCAAGCCTACTTACATTCTACCACTCATACTTCTAGTAGCGTGAACAACCACATTTCCACTTACTATTTCGTTCAACCATGTTAAATGGATGATATGGGTTACTTTGAAGCCTCCGGTTAAAGATGGCTTCTGGCTTCTCAAGGATTTCAAGAGCTTTCAGTGTCTTTTTAAAACCCATCGTGAACTGTTATCGTGTGGAGTATTTCATTTCGTTCCAACTCGCTATGACCTCATTGAGCTCTGTGACGTCCGTTCTCGCGCGTATCCGTTACAAACCTATCCGTGACGTAAAACGTTGTCTCTCGCGTTGCATTCTGGGATTAATTTTGCAAAGGCGTTGTTTTGTCAGATAATGAAAGTGCACCAATGAGCCGTTGGTAGTCTGTCTGGTCTCTTTCGGTATGAAGCGAGCTTCAGATGAGAGAAGGGATTGGGGCGGCATTTGAGTTGAGGCACGAACTTCTTCGGCGAAAGAAAAAATTTGAATTTTTTGCCTACTTCTTTCAGTCGTTATTCTCTATTAGCTGTGGAAAATCTTTTTCTGCTATTTTGCTGTAGCGCTGATTTAAGAACTATACGAAACGTGAGTTAAATACGAGTTCATTTTCGCCATTTGTCGTAAAAAACTTCACGCATAAACTCGTTATCATGTGTGAAGATCAAGCGACTATTGGTCGTGAAAGCTTAAAAACAGCGCGCAAGTTACCAGAATTGCAACAAATTACCACGGGAAGCTAAAAGTGCGCCAGAAACGGAGGTTTAAAGCTTTGTTTACGATCGGAATGTCTTCTGCTCACAGGTATTAATCTGAAAAAACTCGAGATCCAATCTTTTTTTCTACATTCAAAGTTTGCTTAAGAAATCCCAAATTTTTGTAGATTGGAAACAAAATCAGTTTATTGCAATTGCTTCGGTGCACTATTGACATTTTAACTCCGCAGTGGTGATTAACATTTAACTTCTCCCTATAATATCAATACACTATCAAGCAAACAGGTAACGAGAATACTGAAACTTATCGCAGGTCAGAGTTGTCATCTTGACCAAAGAGCAAATTCTCGCAACTATTACAAGGGCATGCAAAGCAGTTATAAGGGAGAATTCAAAATCAGATCTTGGAAGTTTAAGGGTTTTAAAGACTAAAAAACCACAAAACATGCCCATCGTTTGTAAATGACTGGTTTTATTTCGATTCAACTAGCAAGTTGCCAAAATAAAGTCAGTGATCGTCTCGAGCTTTATTAAGAGAGGGGGATTGGATCTTTTCATGTCCAGTATTTCGGGTACATGATAGCAATTGCTTATTTTATAGCTCCTTTTAAGCATAAAATTATAACATTACCAATCGGTTTTTCGCACAGTGTTAAAATCCTATCCTCGGTTTCTCTTAAAAGTTTGAATATAAAACTGGATACAATATATCCATTTCAACTGTGTACTAAAACGAGAGTACAGCCGCTATTTTCAGATAGAATGTCGTTTTCCCGTAATCGATAAAACCAGTTTTTCACCCAAGGTGAGGAAATTAGGAAAAGCTGGCCTTTCACAACTAACATCTCTACAACAATGTTATTTTGCACATGAATGAAGTGTGGACCCACGTAGTATATCGGTTATAGCGAAAGTTTTTTTTTCGTCTTGTCACGAACGTGGGATAAAGAAAGAATTCTGAGTCTCTGTGAGGAATCGAACCTCAAACCTTCGGATTCCGCGCTCCAATGCTCTACCACTGAGCCACAGACTCCACGGTAAGAAAGCCATTACGAAGTTAAACACGTGCTCTATGTTGACGAATGCAATGGCTGACGATATTCTCCTCGTTTCCTCAAACATCAACGAACCATCAACAAGACTGCTAAAGAAAAGTAATCTTTACCATCACACAATCTTTTTCCTACTGCTCTTCATCATACCATTTTCATTCACAGCCACAGTTGCAGCCATTTGCCCTGGAACCTTCATTTGCCTTCGGAAATCTTCCAAACGCCTTCGGAAGTGTTCGGGTGTCTTCTTCGTAAACGATTGGGTCCTCTACAAAAACCCGGACACTCTTGAGATAAATATCACCCGCTTTTGACTAAAGAAAAGATGGAAGGTATCAGAATATTGTTCATATCATGAAACTCGTTTGATTGAAATGGTTTAAAAGAGACTTGTGTTGTGCTGTGTCAATCAAGAATCCATAAACTATATTCTTCTACCTTTAACCTCTTTGCACCTAACATCAGTATGCTGTGCATATTCTCCATACTGTTCTCTATATTTTTCCTTAGGTGCTGACAAGGAGAATTTGTTGAACAATCAACAGTTTCTTTAGTTGGTGATCATGTCCTTTATTCTCACGCCTATGCTTGATTCAGGGGTGATATCGTAAGAGAATTTAGATGCTTAAGTCACTCTAAGGGGCGAAAGGGTTAAAGTTCTAAAATCAAATCTTTTCTTACCTAGAAAATGTCCACAAAATAAAACAAATTGTTAATCTCATACCATCTAGTGCTTTCCTGTCCTCTAAAAGTTGTTCATAGTCTTCTTTTGTCAAAAGTCCATTCAGAATATTCTCAGTGAGTTTTGGGAGGACTACAGCAAGGTAGCCTTCAGTTTGTGGCTAAAGGAAAAAAAGGAAAGCAGAAAGTGTTAAATAAACTTTAATCTGGATGTAGTTATTACACCTTTCAGCTGGAAGCATAATCAGCCAAGAACTCTGACAAGATTGAGGTTGCGTATTTTCATTTGTTGCACAAGACATGTGAGCAAACAGTACAGCTGTCCCACATTTCTAGAATTTCTCCTTACAATATCAAAACAATATTAAGCAGACAAGTGATGAGAACAAAGAAAAATATCAATAAGGAGATTATCGATTGATCCAATACTAAATTCTTTAAACTACATGTAGCATCATGAGAATTGTATGGGAAACAGCAAAGAGAATTATTAATGAGATCTTAAGAGTGAAACGGTGAAATGCAGCACAATTAAAAACTTTTGAAAATCCCTCCTCTCAATACTAATACAAATTAATACATTAATTTACAGATTTGTTAGTGCCAAACCTTTTCTAACAACAGTTGTGGATTTGTGACCAGTTTTTCATTAGCTTCAACCAGCTTTCCTCTGATGCAGCTATGTATGAGATCATGATATATAAAAACACATCAAGCATTAAAAGTTTGTATAAACCCCTTAACTCCCATGAGTGACCAAGATAGAATTTCTCCTTACAATATCAATACAATATCAAGCAGACAAGTGATGAGAATAAAGAAAAAAACCTTAGGGGATTAAAAGTTGATCCAATACCAAATTCTCCAACCAACATCGCAAGAATTACACTGCAGACAGTAAGGAGAATTACTAATGAGATCTTGGGAGTTATAGGGTTAATATGTGAAATCTCCAACCTAATATCAGAGTGTCTCCTGGATAGGAAAAAAAAAATTCTTCCAACCACTAGTTCAGCTTCCTAAATCCCCCAAATAGTAGCAAATTTGAATAGTTTTTTTTCTTCTTAAAGAGAATGGCAGACAATATAAATTTTACAATTATTAAGAAAGAATTATGTTTTCTGTCTGAGCATAGCTGTTGTAATTTTGCTGATGTACCTCCAATTTAATAAGGAACTTCAATTTGTGGGCAGAGACTGGGACAAAACAGTTACAAGAAAATTTGGGTAGGGGTGGGTAGGGGGGAAATCATCCCATCTTACATCTTCAGATTTGTAGAGTTTGGCAACTCTGACATTACAAATGCCTAAGTATATTCTCTGGTTTGACACTAGACAAGATTTAAAGTGTAAGGACTAATTTTTCATTGTATATAAAAAATATTTCATACCTATACAGTGAATACTTGCTGCCATCTGAACTTGTGACTTCACAAATTAAAGACTCTGGTTGTAAATGCTGAGCACCTTTCTTCCCTTTCCCAGAAACTTTGTTATCCAATCGATTCACCTTGGTGCTCACTTGAAAATTCACTTTCACAATCTGCTTACATTGGAGTAAAGGGTGACTTGGTGCTACAGTAATCACACATATCCTGAAAAAATGAAGATCAAAATATTTTGCCATGATTCTGAGGTAAAAACAAGAACCTGCTGTAAATCATAATAATCATTACACTGCCAGAACTCATTCAAGCTCATCTCAATACCACCAAGGTGATTCCTCGGTATTTCAATGCGCATCCTGTACTGCACACAACGACAAGTAAATTACCCCTTTAACTCCCAGAAGTCACTGACATCTAACTTCTCCCTATAATATGCATACATTATCTAGCAATCAAGTAATGGGAATACTGAAACTCATCAGATAGAAGTTTACGTCTTGATCTAACACCCTATTCTTATAACTAATTTACTGGGAAATGTGTAGCAGCTAAAGGGGACATCTTGATCTAACACCCTATTCTTCTAACTAATTTACTGGGAAATGTGTAGCAGCTAAAGGGGACATCTTGATCTAACACCCTATTCTTCTAACTAATTTACAAGAAAATGTGTAGCAGCTAAAGGGGAGAATTGACAATCATATCCTGGGAATTAAAGGTTTAATCTAGTAAAGTATGCAAAATCCAAGAACATACTGTACAGTATTGTTTGTTTGTTTTTTCAATTAACCCTTTAACTCCCAGATCAAATTGTAATTCTCCTTACTGTCAACTATACAATTCTTATAATATTAGTTCAGAGAATTTAGTATTGGATCAACAAATTATCCCCAAATTGATATTTTTCTTTATTCGCATTACTTATCTGGTTGATATTGTATTGATATTGTAAGGAGAAATTCTCTCTTGGTCACTCATGGAAGTTAAAGGGTAAATGGACAAGATAGACAGGTACGAAAGTCTTTTAATCTTGAGCAAACACAGTTACCTGTATTTTTCATTGCTTAATCTTGGTGTAAAATTATTCACTTAATTTTAAGTATTGAAAAAAAAATTGAAAAAATAAAAATCTAAAGGAAAAATGATAACACTAAAAGCATGTATAAGGTGCAAATTATGACCTTGAAGGCAATGCTCTGGGTATTCTACCCAACAAGTTTTTTCCAAAACTCTAATGAAACAATGCACGTGATAATTACCTGTAAGTATACAGGTACATATATGGGGTCAGATAATTGTAAAATTTATATTGTCTGCCATTCTCTTTAAGAAGAAAAAAAAAATATTCAAATTTGCTACTTTTGCAATTATTTAGAAAGAATTATGTTTTCTGTCTGAGCATGGCTGTTGTAATTTTGCTGATGTACCTCCAATTAAGCAAGCACAGAGACCTACCTTTTATGTTGTGGTTTTTGAAAAGACAATTTTTAATTCAAAGGAATCACCCTAAGTGAATAAAATTACTCTGCATAGAAACGACATTGAAATTCGAAAGTTAACTGCAGTTTAGGCAAATGCAGAAAAATAAGTCTGTAAAAGATATATGCTCCTCAGATGCATTTTCCTTTGATGGCTTAAACTGCATTTTTTCTGTGAATATCAAGTCGTTCCTTGCTTCTTCCAGCTTCTTACTTGTTTGAATGCTGCAGCACACATTGATCTTCGCAAAATTTCCCCATTATATCTGTGAATTTTAGCAAAAAGAGAATAATCTAAATTTTACCCTAACAAACATCGACAAAAGCAAACTTTAAACTGTAATCATGACAAACCCGTTTTAAAAATACGCGTAAAATATCGATCTACGACTGATTTTCTTTCCAGACGCTCTGCATCTTCTGCATCCGCCATTTTGTTACATTATTGCCAGCCAAGCCTTCTACCTTAGCAGCCAGGTCTAAAACAAGATGGAGTCAGTCCGGAGAGGTAGATCGTCAAACATCCTTGAAAAACCGCTCAGTAAAGGGCGGAATGAGGTATTCAGTGGTTGATCTTTAATCGGCTGACTACTTTTTTGTGCTCTTAGAACGATCCATATGTTTTTTGTAGATAAATGTCAGCACTTTTGGCTTGCTGTTTTCGGAGATGGTTCAGTATTGCCAAAACAGAGTTCACACTGTACCGGAACTTCAAACCAAGTGAGTGAAAACAGAACCTTAGGAGCGAAAATATCATACTTTATTTTATTAATCTCATGCGATGGCATTCCTGTTTAGCTAATTGGGAGACTGTGATTTTTAATATGTCATCTACTGGTTTTACGACTGTCTCGTACAGGATGAAAATGTTGTGGAAGTAATTCAATTGATTGACTGATATGTGACAAATAGACTGATGCTCGATCGCTCTGACGGAAGGCTAACGTTCGTAACGTCAGTCTTTAAACTCTTTACGGTGACCAATTTACGTTTTAAACTCAGTTGATAACTCTAAATTAACCTGTTGTACTCTCCCACTGACGCAGCACCACATTTTCTGCAGAATAATGACCGTTTAACTGACTACTGGTTGACCGAATTACGGAAGTATTTAGATCGTGAGCTGTGCAGACTGAGAGACAAACAAAAAAGACCTTCTATGTAACTTCTGTTAAAATTTATGTTATTTACCAGGGGTAGTGGGGTTTCAATCTTGTTTAAGGTCCTCAATGCAAAGTTTTTTTCTGTATGAACACCACAAAAATTCCATACAGTGGTCTGTATAGTGAAAAGCTGGACTTACAAGTACACAATTAGCCAATCAGATTCAAGGATTTAGGATTCTGGAACACATAGATACTTCCGAAAAAAATAATATGGATTTCTTGGGCAGTTTATTGTTAGTGATTTTGATTCTAATCATTTAAACAGGTTGTCAGAATTAGGCCAACAAGTTGGTTCCAGAGTGCTTGATGTGTTGGTGTTGAGAGAGAAAGGAATGAAAAGGGAAGTGAGAGTACTAAACATTCTCCTTTTCATTAAATCAGTTTTGTGGAAAGTAAGTAAAAAGTATTATTAATTAACCCTTTACCTCCCATGAGTGACTAGGAGATAATTTCTCCTTACAATATCAATACAATATCATGCATAGAAGTGATGAGAATAAAGTAAAATATCAATTAGGGGATTATTAGTTGATCCAATACCAAATTCTCCAAATTGACATCATAAGAATTGTATGGCAGACAGTAAGGAGAATTACTAATTGAATCTTGGGAGTTAAAGGGTTAATAAAAAAAGCACGAGAATGGATGACACACAAGCCTAAAACTGCATCTGACTATCACTCTGTTTCTCGTCCCACTCTCTTCCCACCCTAAGGATAAGTTGCAACATTGCAGGCTCTTTGGCTCAAGTGCACCACTTAACCTTTTAACCCTTCAGCTCCCAAGATTTAATTGTTAATTCTCCCCTCTAACTGTTACACATTTCCTTGTAAATTAGTTAGGAGAATTTGGTGTTAGATCAAGATGACCACTTTTACCTGATAATACTGAATATTCTCATCACCTTTTTGAGAATAATGTATAGATATTATAGGGAGAAGTTACATGTTAATCACCTCTGGGAGTTTAAGGGTTTATCCATAAAGTGTAGATAGAGTGTAGCAGAAAATAAAAATTAGATCACAAGATTATCAGCTGTTATCAACTGAGTTGATAATGGGATGATGTAAGTTCAGAGAATTCGGTATTGGATCAACTAATAATCACCTTATATGGATATATTTTGCTTCACTCTCGTTATATGTCTGCTTGATATTGTAAGGAGAAATTCTGCCTTGGTCACACATGGGAGTGAAAGGATTAATATAAAATTATGTCAAGCAGGATCCTGTTTTGGATTTTGATATGGAATTTTGAAAAATGAGACATTGTTTTTTTAATATATTTTTTAGATGTTTTATCTTTCAGAATCTGATTTCATTGTTATTTACTTCTTGTTGTTTTCATATTTTATTTCCTTGTAGTCCTTATTCGGCAAAGAAGCTGATAAGTTGGAGCAAGCTAATGATGATGACAAAACATGTATCCTTCTTTATTGTGAGGCAATTAGAGTGACACCCCTTATTTTGAGTTTAGTTAAAAATAAGGTTAAATGCAATTAAGGTAAAGTTTGAGTCAAGTTAGTGCAAAGGGTATCAAAGTGGAGATCCTGATCACATGTCAGGTACAAATTTGAGAAAAATTCACGCATCTTGCAGTATTTTATGCATCAAGAATTTCAAAGGGAAATTTCAAATCTCACTTAACTTGCAGTTGCCTTTCTGTAAAATTTTTGGCTTATGTCGTAACTTTGGGCATAATCACATGCCTCATGTAAAGCTTTTTCCACCCTCAAAGCAGGAGATTACGAGATTAGTGTGATGTGTGAAGTCCAGGGCCCTTGCCAAGTGCTTTGACTCATTCTGCTTTAGTGCTATTTTGCTTGTTTCTTATCCTTCCTCCATTCCACTTCTGGGTACGTATTCTGTCCATGCACGGGTTTCTTGGTGTCATGTTAATCATTTCCAGGTGTTGCAACAGCAGAGTCAGGGGGAGGGGAGGGTTCAAGGAGGTGTGAACAATGCCCCATCAGATGTGTGGACTTGTTTACAACTTTTGTGAGGCCAAACTTCTGGCAGCAACATGATTGCACATGACTACTAAACAGGCTTATGTCTTTTCTTTTGAAACGCCCACTGGTTATTGAGAAGCAAAGCAAACTGAACTCCATGGTCCACTAGTTCAAAGAGAGAATCGTGCTATCCAACAGATAATTTGCTATCCAGGGAATAAGTTTTAATATTTAACATAAGTACTGCATTATCCACTGGTTAGAGATTTATCCAGTGTTTGATGTTACATACCCTTCACACAGCTAGGTGCAGGTCTTGTCCTAGTAAAAGGGTATCTCCATGTGAAGTAGTCACGGGAACTTAATCTGCTACATTAAATTGAAATTCTGAATCTGAATTCCCAGAACAATTCACAGTTGATCATCCTTCTAGAAATAAAGGCCTTGTTAAGAAATGTTAAAATGATTATTACTGTTAGTAGCAAATACATTTAATAGCAAATGGCTGACAGCATGTTTCCCTTAAGTGACTAGAGTTCGATCTGCATCAAAAAAGTTTGCAAGACCTTAACAGTCCTTTCAGATTATATAATTGAAAAAGAACCTCTTGTCAATAAGTTTATCTCAGTTCCAAAGGACAAAGGTACAGTGTAGAATTTTAGAACCTGTGGAACCTTTAGCTCCCAAGATCTGATAGTCAATTCTCTCCTTCAGCTTTTACATATTTCCTTTTAAATTGGTTACAAGAATTTGGTGTTAGATCAAGACAACAACTTCTACTTGATATGTTTGAATATTCTCATTACCTGTTTGCTGGACAATGTATAGATATTGCAGTGAGAGGTTAATTGTTAATCATTTATGGGAGTTAACCCTTTAAATCTCATGAGTGATCAAAGCAGAATTTCTCCTTATGATATCAAGATTATATAAGGCAGATAAGAGATGAGAAAAAAGAAAAATATCAATTTGGGGATTTTTAGTGGATCCAATACTACATTCTCCAAACAAACTGTATGGTAGACAGAAAGGAGAATTGCTAATGAGATCTTGGGAGTTAAAGGTTAAAGTGAGCTATAAAAGAACTAGAAATTATTTTCATTAGACATGAACAGATGAAAGAAAGACGTGATTAGTGTGAGTTGGTGTTGGTGCAATCCCACATCTATGCAAAATTTGAAATGTTTTAAATTCAGGATTTAAATGTTATGAGAGGTTCTGAGGTATAAATCCTTAAAACTCTATATTATTTTTATTCCCCCAAGCTTCATGGTGAGTTCTATTGTATAAAGCTTAATTTTAAATATCTAAACTGGGTTATAATCATTGTGATTTAAGTTTCCTATTGGTAGACAAGAAATTTACCCAGTTAATAATGGTTGTAGGACTTAGTGGTCTGTAATCACATGAGTTATAAACAAATCAGACTCACACTTTGCAATCATCCAATTTTGTTAATCACTCATATGAATCAAGACAGAATTGGAAGACACAACAACAACAACAACAACAACAGCATTTATTTAAACACGATAAAAAAATTCAGCAAAAGCTGATGTGGTCGTGTACGGACAATAAAACTAAATTCCTAACTAAATCCAATAAAACTAAATTCCTAACTAATTATAAGAAGACTAATGTAAGATTTCCTGTAAGTCCTGTTACCAATTAATCATAGCCATTACAATTTCCAAAAAAGATACATCTAGTGGAGACAATGTCTTGAGTTACAAATTACTCCATTTTGGAAATTCCCAGTTTTTCTCATGATGAGTGGTTGTTGTTATGGTTATCATGATCAATTCTGTGATTGGTAGATTTACCTGAGTGTACTAGGTACAATTGGCTGCATCAGATGTCAGATTACAGGTGTATGATTACCAGTGTTTGATTACAGCCAACTGTCCGATTACAACTCTACAAAATAATTAGTAAAAAACAAAGCAGCTAGTGCACCAATCACATTTGAGGAAATTGTAATAGTTATGATTATGTTTGTGACTGGGAAGAAATCTCTTAACCCTTTACCTCTCAGAAATGTTCAACAAGTAACTTCTCCCTATAATACTGAAACTGATCAAGTAGAAGTTGTTTTCCTGATATAACACCAAATTCTCCTAACTAATTTACAAGGAAATGTGTAGCAGCTAGAGGGGAGAATTAACAATCAGATCTTGGGAGTTCCAGGGTCATCAGGCATTGAATACTGTGCAGTTAATTGATAGCTTAAACAGATTCTGGCCAGCTTGGAGCTGCCTCCTGGTTTTTATACTTTTTTTCATTTCATACTTTTTCACAGGAAGCTTGAACTGTGCATCTTTCATTGCTGGCATTGTTGAAGCTGTGTTACATGGATGTAATTTTGTAAGTTCTTTAAATCAATAATTTTTAAATGAATGTTTTATTGTTAATGTAAGTGTAATTAATGTCAGTTAAATCTGGTTATTTAACAACCATTCACCAAATTGAAGATGGCTGATGGTGAATATTTACTGGGTTGCAAAGCAGCAGGATAAATATCCACTGACACTGATTGGAGGTGAATGGCAAAGAATATTTGGAGTTTGAGTAGCCAATCAAAGTGCTCCTTAAATACTATCAACTATGTCATTATTTTCCTATCTGGCTCACCAATACCACTAGTGCTAAGCTCTTGGCACCTCCAAGCCTTTGTATGGGAAGCTTTGAGTACTTAAGATTTCAATGACCACATTTATTGACAATCAGTCAGCAAGATTGAGTTGCATTGCAATTCTTAGGTGTATTATGTCAAATATAATTCCTATACTCCCTGTAAATCTTCAACCCCCTAACCCCTTACATCACTGCTTAATCAAACTTTAAGGTAATGGAAGTAAAAGGGATGATAACCAACAAATGAAGTTCTTGATTGCTAAACAAATTCTTGTTGTTAGTAAATACTAATTTAAAAGAAAATGAGTAGAGAGAGGTACAGAGAAGATGCTTTCTATTTTTTTTAGGGTTAAGGTGAATTGAGATTTCTGGCTGAGTGATTTATAGTGTGGGATAGCTACTGACAAGGAATTCACATTATGATTTTGTTGTAGCCTGCTAAAGTAACTGCACACTGGCACAAAGGAACAACTTTGATGATCAAGTTTGAAGAGTCAGTGATACAGAGAGACAAGTCAATGGATGGAAGATGAGATAATTAACTGTAAATAATTCATAACATCGACAACACTGTGAAAAAAAAATTGAGTGTTCAGTAGGAAAAGAATTAATTAAAGAGGTTAGTTGTGAAAATAGCCTTTGGTTGTGTCAATTTGCTTGTCATCTATGACACATTCATCAGGTGACAGAAATGTTTATACCATATCTCCTTGAGTAAGCACCTGGATATTTGTTTAAACATTCAGCTCAGTAGAGGTGCTTATTTGAAGGAGGGCGATTGCTGTTCTCCAGCACTGATTCCATTCTAGTTGAATCTTAAAGAGTTTTAAATAAAGTGGCAATAGATAAAGGTTTTCCATGTATCCCTACAATAAGTGTGTGGAAGGAGCTTCTTCAAGAGGGGCAAATAATTGGCATTATGGCCAAGGGAATGGGTGCATGTTCGGGGTAGGATGCTTATTAGATCATGGACACTTATTCAAGAAAAAAAAAAAAAGTACTTACCAGTACATATATCTGCTGACTCTCAAGATCGCTTAATCAACTCTTCTTTCCATTTGCTATAAATTTCTTTGTGTACAAGGCAAGAGAATTTGGTTGTCAGTCTTGACATCCTCATGCTAATAAGGTTGTCTGATTATTCTCAATACAGTTTTGGCAACTTTTCCCCAGGCTCCCTCATCCTTGCCCTTGTTATTGTGACGAGTGACCCCTCTATTACATGTAAAGTATAAAAACAATTCGATCAACAAAATCAGTAGTCGCAAATTTACTTCACCTGGTGAACATTATCTTGCGAAGTCTACATTCAGCAAAATCATGCCAAACACTCGCCGTCATTCTTACGATCTCAACTTCAAGTTGAAAATCGTAATTGAAGCTGAAGCTGTTAACAACAATCGAGAGATAGCGAGGGAATACGGATTTTCCGGATCAATGGTTTGGAAGTGGCGCAATAGTAGGACATCCTGTATCACATTGTCAAGCGCGTTTCCATGGGCCGTTACCGACCAAAAGATCCCGAACTTCATCAACCGTAGGCCGACTGGTTCAGTGATCAAAGGAGCCAAGGTAAGCAAATGCCTTCTTATCTAATACATTAAAGTTCACATGGCAACCAGGTGGACAATCAGACATAGTTTGATGCTACTCTGGTTTGCAGATTTAATTAATGTAACCGAAGAAGTTACAATTCATAGACCCAACGTTTCGACACTTCTGTCTAGTGCCTTCATTAGGGGTGATCTAGACGCTGTAACAAGAGGTCCTTTTATATGATCACTAATTAGCAGCCTTTTTTTTTTCTGACGAGGTGTAAATAAGCGTCAGGAAGCAAACCGCCATCGTCACGATCTAAGCCTCCTCCCAAAAATATTCAAAAGGATGTTTTCAATGCACTTATAGCTCTCAAAAAGGATCCGGACAGGCTCGTATTATCTGCTGACAAGGGTAATTCTGTTGTGGTTGTGGACAAACAGCAATATCACGACAAAGCTTTGACTCTGCTTAATGACAAGAGTACGTTTGCTGTCTTAAACTCTGATCCTACCAGTAAAACCTCAAAGAAAGTTAAACAAAATGTTGCTTGATTTGCAAAAAGCTGGTAAAATTAGTGACCCTACGTACAAAATGTTAGACAGTAGTGACGACTTATGTCCACGTTTTTATGGCTTACCTAAAATTCATAAACCGGGAATTCCTTTGAGACCCATTGTCTCTTTTGTTAATTCTCCGACTTATGCAATTTCTGGTTATCTTGCGAGAATTTTGTCGCCTGTTGTTGGGAATACTGATTACACTGTCAAAAATTCCTGCGAATTTGCGGATTTCATAAAAGATAAAACTCTTAACGCTTGTGAAGAATTAGTATCTTTCGACGTTGTTTCGCTCTTCACTAAAATCCAAATGGGCAAATGGCTATACAAAAACTTTTCTCCGTAACTGCCAAAAACCAGTTACAAATAGTAACGCTCTTGATGAAAGGGAACCAGCGACTGGTTTTGCTGTTATTCCTTACATACAGGGTGTTACGAATCAACTTATTCTACAACAGATGAACTCTTTATTCCAAGACAGGATTACTTCCATATTTCAGAGATCTAACTCATAGCCAATTGGCAGAGATTTTTCTGCATTTAAGCGTCGACAAGCTTCGCGCAGGGTGCATAGCACAAGAAGCAAGTGACCAGTTAAAAATTGAAGTATTGACATGCCCGCATGACACTCCCGCCATCTGCAAGCGATTTTATACTTCTGTCTCCAAAGATCAGTTCTGGCCAGGATATACTTTAATGTTTTTTGGCGATGTGATTTTGAATGTGACATTTCCACATCAGCGTGTTCTTGAGCTTTTGTAAAGCCGGAAGTGATCCTTCTCTACTGGAGCAGGTAACTTTAGACACGTATTTCTCCAGAACTTCGTCAGGTATCCTCTTTCCCCTCTTTTAGTCGTATTTTTAAGCTCTGTACGATTTTTTTAAATGTGAAGTGCTTCGGATTTATTTTTAGGATGCGCAACGCTTCTCCTTTTGCGAATCCTATCTTAACGCCGCTTAAAAAGTGTTTACGGGCCGGCACGACTCCTGCTAGGCGTTGAGCTAGTATAAACGAATCTCTCCGCAGTTACCCGTATATTAACAAAAACAAATATGGAAGGTATTCTTAATAACTAAACCTTTCAAAAGGCTTGAAAATACAAAAATCATACCAGATTTTAGTGGTTTGTTTAATACTTAAACTACTGTCTTAACTTTACTGAATTCGTTTTACTCAAAAGCCTTACGTAGGTCAACATTGTTTCGTGCTTATTATATCAGAATATAATTTTTGCGTGAAAAACATAAAAAATGGTGAGTACATAACCAGTACCTCCTCCTGAGAATATCAGAAAAGAAAGCACCAAAAATAGGAATAACCGTTATTCTCTCCCCTAACCTGGGATAGCTCTTTTTTTTTAATGTCGATGAAATACCAGATAGAGTATTTTCTCTACTTATTTCTATTTAATTTATCCATCTAAAAGTCTTTTAACTCTGTTCCCTTCGAGTACTTGTCATTATTTACTCTATCGGGGTCTTTTTTCCTGCAAGAAAAAATTTGAAATAACCCAATTTATTATTACCTCAATTAATATTTTGGATATAAAGCAAACACAATTACACCAAGCACAATATATAAAAATAATTGGCTATTACTTGTATCTCATTGGTAGAGAGGCATCTGTGAGATTTTATACTTTACACCAGAGAGCGGAGATAGTAACTCTTCAAAAAGGAAAAAAAAGTGTGTGTAGATATATATATATATATATATATATATATATTTATATTTATATTTATATACATATATATATATAGATATATATTAAACTAGCCTTGATGTTCAAGGTAACAAAGGATCCCCATCCAGTCAACGACTAGTAAGTCATAACCATCCTCACATCTAATTTCACTTTAATTAATGAAATACCTGTTCTCACCGAGTCTTGCCGCTGCTTGTCAAACTCGAGTCTCACATCATCTCCAATCAGCGTAAACGAAGCCCAATCAGAAATTTTGTTCAAGGCGTTTTTTCTCATCCCTTTCATGGCCTGATGAAGGGATTCACTGGCACTTCTTCCTTCAATGAGGTGTTCGTAGAACCGGCTCATCAGCTGCTCTGTTGCTGAGTCTGGAATGGCCCACAGCGCAACCAACACCGAGCGAGCACCGGATCCTAAGAACGCACGGGCAATTCCTATAACTCCCTCGGCTCTTATCTCTCCACTTCCACTGTGACAGCAACTAAGTACCACCAGTTTAGCTCTGACTTTCACTCGTGAGACATCAGCCATCGTCAACATGTAAGCTTCCTTCGGTGGGATAGCGTTTTGACTGTTGGGAGTAGGAATGGGGGAGAGTGCAATTTCTCCTCTTTCCGCGTCACCATGGGCAGCAAAATGTATCAAGCTCACTGAACTTATCTGCTCAAGTACCGCCTGCTTCGTTGCTTTCCCTTCAACTAGAGGCGGAACACCCACCAGTCGTCCGACCATCTCCGCTTCCTTTCTTGCACCTGGCAATGGTTGCAGCCAATTAACCTTGGGATTGCCTATTACCAAGGCACCAGTGTTGCTGTGATAGTCCTCTGGACTATCTTGAATGTTCTTGAGTGTTGTCAACGAAGGAATGATACGGATCTTATGAGTCTCTGACAAGTATTCGGCTCCCTCCTTTTCACTCAGGGCAGCAAAGGGAACTTTGTACAACCTGCGGTCAGGAACAATAATGACTTCAGGCTCATCAAGCAAATCATAAACGGGGGCAATAAACATTTTGTAACACAAATATAGACTTGAAATCACTTTCTCGTCCTCGTCCTCGTCCTCGTCCTCCTCCACAAGTCGCAATCTTGCTGAGCTCTTTTGCGCGGGGGAGAGAGGTTGCAATTTAATCGTATTTAAAGACCGATCTTCACAATCTTTAGTGGGCAAAATACCAAGACTCCGGAAATTATCATCCAAAAATTGACTCAAAGACAAATCTCTGGGCAACCCAGCCTGAACTAGATTCTCTTTTGGTGATACTCTTCTATAGTGAAGGACTCCACTTGTTTTCAAGACCCACAAATGCAGACGATTCTGAAAATAAGAAATGTACAGACAAGTACAGTTATTTTTCTTTCTTAAAATGTTCTCAATGCCAAACCAAGATTGTGGATTAGCAGAGATGTGCGTTTCAACCGAGTACTTCTCTGCCATTAAGTCTGATAGGCCTCTAGCTCGGCCCAACTCCTCAACATAAAGAGCATCCCGAGCATTTCCGGTGTCACAAAGCAAATTACAAAGCCACTTGTAGGGGAATATTCCTGTGTCCTCCAGAAATGATGTTTTGAACTGATCATTGGCGCCCAAGAAATATCTCAGCTCCTCATACTTTTCAATGCACAGATGAAGACACGACATAGAGTCTTTAATTTTATTTTGAAAAAAATAAAAAACGGAGTAACTTTGAAGGATTTGGAACTCTCTTCTTCCATCTCCAATATCTCTTGATATGAATAAAGCTTTCTCCAAGCATACTTCCGAAGCTTCAAAATCACCAACAGTTCTAAACAAAATTCCAAGGTTTCCAAGAGCTGCTGCTTCCCCTTCCTTATCACCAATTTTAGTTTGGATGGCAAGCGCTTTTTGGAGATACTCTTTAGCCTTGTCGTATTGGCCAAGCGACTTAAACACAGTACCTAGGTTTCCATAACATGATGCTTCCCCTCGTCTGTCGCCAATTTCAGTTGTGATGACAAGCGCTTTTTGGAGATACTCTTCAGCCTTGTCGTATTGGCCAACGGACAGAAAC